GGGGGTTTGACTGCGTGGGAGTCCAGTGACATAGCCATTACGCTAACTGCTGGTCCCTCCTCAAATTTATTTTAAAAATTATTTTGTTTAACTTTATTTTTATTTATTTATTTATTTATTTATTTATTTATTTATTATTATTTAAATATTTGACCAGAAAGGAATAGAGTGAAAAGAGAAAGAGAGAGAGAAAGTGAGAAAGCAAGCCACCAGGTCCAGGATTCAAACCACGGTCAGCCATGTGGGAGTCCAGCACCCTCAACTACCATGCCACTTGCTGGCTCCCTAAATTTTTTATATTTCTCAGAGGTTTTGTCTTAGGGCACATGTGTCCCCCAAGGAGAGAGAGAGAGAGAGAGAGAGAGAGATGGTGTGAGAGAGAATATGAGAAATTACCCCCCCCAGAGGGCATTGTCACACTGCAATCCCTTCTCCTCCATTCTTCTCCCAGGATCTTGGGGATTCATGCACATGTGCCCAGTGTAAGTTTCAAGCCACAGGGTCAGGGATTTAAATTGCGGTTGGCCATGTGGCAGTCCGGCAACATAACTTCTACACCATCTGCTGGTCCTAAATAAAATAATTCTTTTATTTTAAGAGAGATTTTTGCTATAGGCTGTGTGCGTCTGCCAGAGAGACAGAAAGAGACAGAGAGACAGAAAGTAAGAAACCAACCCCCCCAGGGAGGATAGCCATGCCACAATCCCTTCTCCACCATTCTCCTCTTAGGACTTTGGGCACACATGCACATGCACCGGTGTGAGTTTTCAAGCCTCAGGGTCTGTTGTTGGATCGACTATGTGGGACTCCAGCAATGTAACCATTACATCATCTGCTGTTTCCCTAAATTAATGATGATTTTTTTTTTTTGAGAGGTTTTTGCTATAGGGCGTGTGTGCTCACCGGAAAGACAGAGACAAGGAGATAGAAAGCAAGAAATCACCCCCAGGGGGATGGCCACACCACAATCCCTTCTCCTCCATTCTCCTCTCGGGATCTTGGGCATGCATGCACACGCGCCTGGTGTGGGTTTAAGCCACTGGGTCCAGGACTTAAACTGTGGCTGACTATATGGGAGTCCAACAACATAGCCATTATTCCAACTGCTGGTCCTGTCTAAAATAATTCTTAAAATAATAATTATTTTATTTATTATTATTTAATTTGCTATAGGGTATGTGTGCTCATGAGAGAGTGAGAGAGAGAAAACGAGAAAGCAAGCCATCAGATCTGGGACTTGAACCTCAGTCAGCCATGTGAGAGTCCATTGTCTTAATTACCACACTACCTCTGGCCCCTCCTTGATTTTATGTGGAAAGTTCTACCTAAAGGTGTAGGGAGTCTATATAATGACTTAACCTTTTTTTTTTTTTTAAGTTTATGTAATCTCTTAAAATGAGAGACAGACAGACAGACAGACAGGGTCCTTACACTCGTATCTTCCCCCAGTGCTGCAGCCAGCCAGGGTCGTAGAAATGCCTGTGATGCTATGATGCTGGCCTTCACTACTTATGCCCAACACATCCCACATCCCAGCGGGAATACAGAATCGAGCTGAGGGGCATCTAGGATGGCCAGTTGAGGTTTATGATGGGATGGGATTTTTCTAATAACAATCACGCCATTTTTTTAATGGTTATTTTTTTTCCCGTAAATAAACACAATTTGCCAGAGAGGATGCATGTGCTCATGAGAGAGAGAGAGAGAGAGAGAGAGAGAGAAAACACCCTCTATAAGGAATGGTCACACTGCAAGCCCTTCTCCTCCATTTTTCTCTCCTTTTGAGATTATGTGCATGCACACACAGGTGCCCGGTGTGTTTTCCAAGTTGCTGGGATTCACTGTGCAGTCAGTCATGTGGGATCCAACTGCTGTAACCATCATGCCATAGGCTGGCCCAGTTTTTTTTTTTTAAAGTGTATTCATTTCTTCTATGGGTGAGTGGGGTGGTGACGGGAGGAGAGAGAATCCCTAACAGGGTCTCGATACTGTGATCCACTTCCAGCTTCAGCCAACCCTGGATCATGGGCACCGGCATGCTCAACATACTCAGGGAGATTTCTTTTCTTTTTTAAAAAGAATTATTTATTTAATTTAATTTATTCATTCATTTATTTTTAATTGGACAGAGAGAGACAGAGAAA